AAAAATTTTGAAATTTTTGTAAAACACTGATCCCCTTTGACAAAATTCCATCCTCAGAAACAAAAAACGTCTTAAAAATTTTTAAAAAAGGTTTTTGACACTCATTTTTTCATATGTTTTTGTAGAAATATAATTGAAAAAAGATTTGTATATTACACTACTACATGTATTATCATTATTACCAAGAGATGATAAGTATTTAGGGACTTAATCAAGATCTGTGCCAGGTAGCTATGATTGCTGATTTTGAATATCTTGTTTTTCTACTTTTGTCTTTAAACCTTGCTAAAGACTTGGGATTCTGTTATGTGAGGAAGCTATTCACATTCCTTGCGGAAAGTCTGTGGATCTTTTTGGATGCCCACTAGTGTAAACATTTAGTCTTAATTGAGATGTGGTTCTAAACAAAGTTTCTTTAGTAAAGCTTTTCTTGGATAAAATTCTTCTATCCATTGATAGCTGTATTAAGTAAATACATTGCATGCAATTTATTAGGGTTTGATATTTAAAAATCAGTAAGTTGTTTTTTGTTTTGTTTCTTCAAATACATGTAGGTTGATATTTTGGTGAACAATGCAGGTCGGTCTCAGAGGGGTCTTATTGTTGAAACAGCACTAGAGGTGGATAGGCAAGTGTTTGACCTTGACCTACTGGCACCAATATCTGTTACCAAGGCAATTCTTCCGTATATGATAAAACAAGGTGGAGGTCACATTATGTGTACAAGTAGTGTAGCAGGAAAACTTGGTGCCCCAGGGTCAGCAAGTTACACTGCTGCTAAACATGGAATTCAGGTAGCTTTCTTTATACAGAAGATTGTTAGATTATGGCATTTCATATCAAGATCATAGGTTGGTATAGTTTCAACGTATGAATATGGTTAATTTAGATGTTAAAATATCACATACAATTTTATACTAGTATTAAGTGTTTGATAAACAACAAATGTTAAGCTTTAACATTTCTGTTTTCAGGGATTTTTTGACACACTACGTATAGAATGTGCTCCAGACAATATATCAGTAACAATGGCATGTCCAGGACCTGTATTTTCTGAAGCTCTAGTACACGCCTTTACATCAGAACCTAATAAGGTAAGGTCACATGATGGTTTATCTTTTACCCTGATGCTGTCAAACCAAACTTAATACACATGCAGTAGTGTATAGCTAGACAAGTCTGAATATTAATTTTGTGCAGTCCAACAAAACTGAAACATTTTAGGCAATAACTGCCATTGCTTGCATCAAAATTTGTGGTGATAATTGTATAAACAAACTAATGCAAAAAATAGGCGTTTTCTTGTTCAGGTTTTATTTATTTTGCTTATTTGAACAGTTTGTTGACATTCAAAAAAACTTTATTACATGTTAAATTGTAAACAATTTTAACAATCATATTTCTGATGCATGTGAGTTTTATCTTAATAAAGGGAGTTAATTCTGTACAACGTTGTATGAGTTATATCAATGTAAAAATTATATTTAACACATATGTGCTGATAATATTGTTCAACTGGCTAATAACAAAAATGCTCAACCTTCATATGTGATTTATGTCACAGAGTGAGAAAAAACATGCAGTCTAGACTAGGGACTAGAATAGAAACCCTGGGAATACTGTTGTGCAGCCATATATATTTTTTTTATTGGGTTTTACGTCACACCGACACAGTATTGGGCATTTGGCGAAGTTCCAACTTTACTGGTGGAGGAAGACCTCAGGTGCCCTTCCGTGCATTATTTCCGGCACAAACGGGCACCGGAGTAGAACCACCAACGTTCTGGAGCCATATACTTTAGACTGAGCTTCCCAGCCGTGTATCCTCTTCCTCCCCAATTATTGAACAGTTCTATACCATGACATTTGCATTTTAATTTTAGAAATTGAATGTTGAAATGAAGAAGTCCTGGAACAGAATGACTGCTGAACGATGTGCATATCTTATGAGAGTGGCTGCAGCAAATAAATTACATGAAGTTTGGTTGACTCCTAATCCAGAATTATTTTACTGCTACCTGTTCCAGTATGTACCATATTTTGCTAAAAAGTAAGTTGACAGTTTACTTACATCTAAAAAATTATATGATTTATAATCTACAAACAAATATGAACAGAATACATGCAACACTGTCAACTTATAAGTGTGCTACCTTCCAAAGTACCACTCCTGAATATTTAAAAAAACAAATTACTATAAATTGTATTGTAGTAGACAGCCACATAGTTATCCATCCAGTTTGCCATAAATTTCAGTTTTAACAGACTAAAAGCACCATAAAAGATAGCCAGTTTGTGTTAAGGTAGCTGCCATTGTTTTAACAGTGTGCATTTTCTGTACGTTAATTGTAAAGATAAGATTGTATTTCATTGGCAGATGATAAAAATATATTTGTACAAATTACACTACATTGTAATTTGTATTTCTTAAGATAAATCTTTTAGAATTATTTTTTAAGAGGCATATATAAATTTCAAATAATTTGAATGCATTGAGCACTGCTAAGCAAATATATATTGTCACCATTTGGTATAGCTGCAATTGTGTCAGCTCTTGTTTAATATTATATTGTATATCAATATAATTATAGGAAAGAATTGCATTATTTCATTTAAATGAGTCATTGCTGACTTAAGTAATCATTGAATTTTATTGCTAGTATTTTTCAAAATTTCTTTAAAAAAGTTTGAACCCCATGAGTTTTTTAAGTGGCTATAAAAACTTGCCTATGCCACTAAATGTACTGGTAGTCATGCCAGTCCACCAGCACATCAAAACCCTTTACTGGTAAATCCACGAATAACTATTGAATTCCAAGCATGGCAAGTCTATTATACACATTTAGATAGGTAAGGGTTAAATATGAAAGTATCCTAAATTCTGTGACTGAAGTGGCTTCAACATTTCCTAAGCCAATATGAGTATAGATTAAAAAAATAAAATGGCAAAAAAACTCCAAAAATGCCAAATTCTTTTATAGATACAGATAAAAGTGTTGATGACTCTTACATTGTTTTCTTTTCAGAATTGCAGTAAGACTTGGTCAAGGTAGAGCCAATAAAGTTAAAGCAGGAATAGCTGATTTACATTGAAACTACAAAAACTGTTTTTAGGATATATAAATGTGATATTATATTATAGGCTGTGATATGCTGCATGTCATAAATGTGTTCCTTAATTGATACCAGATGTGATTTTTGTGTTCTGTATGGAATCTATGTACCATGCTAATTAGTCTGATTAAAAGTGTATAAAGCTATATATATATCTGCTGTTAAATTATTGTTTGAATTTTAAAGAATACTTCTTCCAAGATGCTTGTATGAAAGCTATTATGTAGTAAATTGCCTTTAAAGGAAACTACACATGCACAAAATTATTGCTAAACAGTTAAAAATTCTAATAGAAATAGCAGAATATTTTGTTCCAGACATGACCATTTTGTTCTTTTTATGTAATTGTTCATGTTGGTTAAATAACTGAGACATTCTATGTTCCAACTCCCACAAGAATCAATCATGAGATTATGGAACCAATAAACAGTTTGTAACTTTTAAAAATATTTCATAAGATGTAGCTTTAGTCCCTTTAAAAATTTGAAATTACTGACTTTAGTAGTTTTTCTATGCATACACATTATTATCTATAGTATGGTGACTTAGAAGGGGTGTACTTGTTCATTTTGTTTATAAGTGATTAAAATCAGGTCATAAAATAGTAGCACAATCTGTGATATTTCATAGAAGAATTTATCTGGTAGTATTTACATAATATGGCAATATTATACATGTATATAAAAAGAGATTAAAATAAATTAATGAAGTGCAACTGTAATTTTTTCCGGTATTATTTTCCAGGACCCAGTGTAGAAAGTGCTTTAAACCGTACATAGGGCATTTAGGTTGTTATCATTTGACAGTTGTTACTTTCATGTAAGAAGTCATATCATGAAAAGTGTAACCTATGTCACAGAAGACCTTTTCACATTTGAGCTTACTTAATGTACAAATTAGATACATGTATACAATATACTTCTTATGAGTACAATTAAGTATTTGTGACTGAAACAAAATGATTGGTCAAAACAAAGAAAAACCTTTTATTTCCCTATGTGAACTACCTTCTATTTAACTACCAGTCCCAAGGTTGTTTGACAAATTTGAAAATCCTTTAAACGAAAATACATATAGATTGTATTTACTAAGTCCAGTCAAGACTTCTTAACCAAAAGCATGTGTAAAGTGCTACAAGGCCTTATTGTGAATTTCTGAAAAACCTGTTTCTATGCAAAACTTCCAACCAGAACTAGCTCTAAATATGTTTTCATATATGTTTTTATATGAAATCAATTTATATGAAAGGCTTTCACTGTCCAGTTAGCTCATTTAGTTAGAGTGCTGGACTGTGAATTGGGCAATCCGGGTTAATTCCCTGACAGTGCAGGTTAGTTTCGTTGTGATAGATCATGAAATCTTTTCTGCAGTAATTCACAATTGCATCTACAGAAGTAATCACTTCCTTGCCAAAGTGAAGGCAACTATTACAGCATGCCCATGGTGGCTGAACTGTGCACTGGTAAATTCAGTGTGGCTTACTGCCATGATCTGGGGGTGAAAACTACCAACACCGTCAAACAACCACCACATTTCAAAATTTGAGATCGTATTTCTCATTCTGAAAAATTATGATGAATAAGGAAAACAGTAAAATATGGTATGATCATATTTATTATACATTCATTCTATTACAATGGATGGATTTTTTTTTCAAAATATACAATGTATTTCTGTCATGTAATCTGTATTACCAAACTGATTCTTTAAATGTTTAAGAATAATAATTTATGTTGCCCTAAAAGAATGACTTAAAATATTGCTCTGTCATGAAATGTATTCTGCCCTATTAAAAATGAAGAGTGAAATAATACTGTAGGCCTTAAAATTGTTTTAAAAAGCAAAATTTTTATGATGAAGGGAAAGACACATGTTAAATTTTACTGGGGTTGATAAATGAATTAAAATACTGACACGACTTCTCAAACTGAGGGCATGAACAAAATCATGATCTTAATAATGATAAAATTTAAACTATAGTTATGACTACGTAAGTAAATTTCAATAATTTGACCTTGACGGTCAATTGTAAATTAAAGGTCGTACCAGAATAATACAACTAGCTGGCTTTGTCTTAAGTGCTCTTTTGTCCAAGAATGAATCAAATCCATAAATAAATAATGTTATGGCCAATTGTTGAAAAATTCATTAATTTTACGTTAAGTGTCAATGTCAAATTAACATCAAGTTCAATGAAATCTTCTTTCAGGTCTTGTCCCAAGGACTGATGAAGACAATACATTTCATTATCACAATGTACAAATTTACAGCTAATTACAGCAAAAATTTGAAATTATAATAATTTGACTTTCAAGTAGATGTTATTTATAGGTCAAGGTCAAATTAAGTTTGATATTTTTTTAAAGACATTGTACTTATGGTTGTTGTGCTCAAGTATGAGGACAATCCATTCATAAATATTTAAGTTAATTATAGCCAATGATAGCAAATATCAAGCAAAATTCATTAATCTGACTGTCAAAGTCAAGGTCATTGATGAGTGAAGGTCATTATTAATTTATTCTTCTTGAGGGTCTTGTCCAAAGGATTATTATATCCTAGTATGAAGACATCCATTCATGAATAATGTTATAGGCAATTTTAGCAAAAATTAAGGAAAATTCAAAGTCATTTTTGTGTCAAAGTCAAGTTCTGTCTGGCCTACTTGAAGGGTTGTTGTGTCAAAGTATGAAGATAATCTATTGATAAATTACAAAAATATGGCCAACATCAAATGACAAAGGGCAGACAACAACCTATCTGTAGCAATAGCCCAATTTAAAAAAAAAAAAGTCAAGGTAAAAATGTTTTGGACATCTAGTTTTGTTAAAATCAAATTGAAAATTAATTTGCTATCATGCTGACAAATGTTGATAAAACTGCCCTCACACATACATGGCGACCATACTGCGTCCTTACTGCGACCTTGATACGACCCAGGACGCAGCACAGTCCCCATGGACGCAGCAGGGACGCAGCGAGGTCGTAGCGAGGAACCCAAGGACGCACAAGGTCGCAGACCGTCGGCGACTATTTTGAACATGCACAAAACAGTCGCAGAAACTCTGCGTTCTTGCTGAGTCCTGGTTATGTCGCCGTGGGATCGCAGTGGAGTCGCCATAGTCGCAGCAGCATCGTAGTAAGGACGCAATAAGAACGCAATAGACGTAGTACACTCGTACTAAGGACGCCGTAGAGTCACCGATGAAATTACAAGAAATTGCTCGGAAACCTTTGGCGACGCTACTGCTACTGGTAAAAGTATTGTTTTTATAGACGTATAGCAAGAATGTAGTAGGGTCGTCGTACAGTCGCAGGACAGTCGCCGGACAAACGCAATAGTCGTCGTAGAGTCGCCGTAAGGACGCAGAGAACATAGCACAGTCGCAGCTGGGTCGCCGATGATCGCCGTGGGGTCGCCTTGGGGACGCAATACAGTCGCAGTGGAAACGCCATGGACGTAGAAGGGTCGTATTGAGGACATAGAGAAAACGTACTGAACACAAGACTGCAGAGCCCCGGACCGTCTGCGAGAGAAATTTGAAAAAAAAAACAACGATTTTCGAAAGAAAAATGCTATTTTGCTAGTTTTCAGGTCGCAGTAAGGTCGTGGTTTATGTGTGAGGGCACCTTTAGCAATCAATCCTTCAAACTTTCATGAGCATAGTTACATGCTTAGGTGAGATAAAATAAAAATAATCACAAGTATGTTATTATAAATAAATAAGATGTGATTGTACATGAATGTTGTATATAGTTTACCCTGTGTACTTGGGCATACCCTGTAAGTTGTCATATGATTGGTAAAACTTTGTGGGTTTTCTTTTTTTTTAATGTCATAAAAAATGTTTGCTCTGTTTCTTTAGATACAGTTTATTTATTTGAATCAATATGATAATTGAAAATTATCTTAAAATAGTTATGTTAAAATATATTCATTCCAAACTTTATGATTGATATAATTTATTTTTCTGGTGTCGACTTTTTCTTTTATTAGAATTTTTCAACTAAAACATGCTAAATAAAGAAATAATGCAAGTACCAATTACTCAGTCTTATACAATGAAAAAAGAGTAAATCTCCAGTTTCCAAGACTTTCAATAATAATTAACTTAATATATTCTGTGATATTTCTTTGGAAAAAAAAGAAGAATTATATGGTACCACTAATTTATTTATTTTTCTTATTTTTTTCATACATGATGAAACATTTTAAAAAAAACTTAAGAAGTCTTTAAGTCAAGTTAAAAAAAGGATATTTCATCATTAAAAAAATTATTTTCAACTAAAAATTCCACATGAGAATGGGCAAAAATGATTAACACAAGATTATCACAAAGTAACATGTAATCCGTTGGCATATATTAGGTTGCTGTTACAAAAAAAAAAAAAAAAATATAAAAAAAATTAGAAGTCCTCAACAATGTTATCTCATAAAACATGTTATCATAATTGGTTTGACATTTGATAATACTTCAAAGTAATATCTCAAATAATAATAAACTGTGATGTACATGTACTAAGTTGTTGTTAAATACTACACAATAAGCTATGAACAAATTTGTCAACAGCAAATATTTATACCCTTATCCTTAATTAAGCCTTGTAAATAAAGTTGGAGGGATATAGATCTTTGAGTCTGTTGGAGGACTAAACGTAAATGCCTACCATAAAACTAATCTCTGTCATATAGTCATATAGATGCACTATTCTGAAAATGATTAAAATATCTAGAAATTTACATACTTAAAAAAAAAATCAAGTGATAAATCAATAAGAAATATAATAATAAATGATACAACTATAATACCTAATAAGTATCACAAACCTGACTGAGGAAACTTGTTCTTGATTAGAAAAGTATATTATTCATGACAGTGAGCTTAACATCACCACCTTAAAAGGAAAAGGGGTATCCGGAAGGTCCCGCATATTGTCCCTTTTAAGTTTTCCTATTTGTTACTTTATTATTAAAAAGAGACCCCAAAGAGCTAAGTCAATTTTACCCTGCAGTTATATTATTTGAACAACATAGATACAGGTACAGGTTCAAAATTTTATGCTGTGTCTTTTTGTTCTTAACAGGAATTATTTTGTTTTTGCTTATGCATTCATTTGAATTACCTCCGCTAAAACAAAACAAGCCCTTTACAAAATTTGAATGCTCAGTCTCATATATAGTAAACATTTACATCATAATACACCACAATTCATGATAACAAATGATCATTACACTTTTATTTTGTGTCTCGGACCTTGGACCTCCGCATATGACCTCGACTTTGGCCAAAGGGACCTAAATTTTACAAAATCATATACCAGTAATAGTCCTTCAATGTATGCAGACATCTCACTTAAGAAAGTGTTTTCCTCTGCCTTTAATGACCTACAAAGATGATTCATGTGTGCAACACCATATCTCATGATGGTAAACATTTCTGTCAAATAATACTGAAATCCTTCAATGCATGTAGAAGATGTGTACACATGAACATTATTTTTAAACCATCTCTGGTGACCTTCACCTTGCATATACATGTATCGAAATGAATTACGCTGACAATATTTAGTCTTATGATTCTGAGTTGTCTGTCATTTAAGGGTTTTTTAACCACATTAAATAACGTAAAGTTGTCGTTTATCAGCCTGATAAACATACACAGTTATAAAGTTTGTACTGTTGTAATGTATTCTGTCATTAAAAATATCCCGTTCAATTAAACATCTTTT